GGTTCTCTGACCAAATAGGCTAATGTTGTCACCGAAGTTCATCAGCGGTTTCTTCTTTTTCTTCTGAGCACTAACCGGTTGTAAGCTGGGTTTAAAGTTCTCTTGTTCGCCCGTTTCTGGACAGTGGTCCCCCCCCCCCACCCCCACCCCTCAGTACTTGAGTACCCACTGACTCCCCTCCCCCCGCCCCAACATGCATGTTGTAAACGGCATCTAATTATGGAGGTTTTCCTTCGAAGTCGGAGTTATCCGCCCAAAAGGCGAGGAACCAACAGTCTGCATCTAAATAAGTCAAATTTGTGAAACTGATGTGCGCGCAAACATCAGAACAATACTTAAGTCCAGACGAAGACAAGCGAACATAAATTTCCGTCAACCGACTAGTTTTTAGCTTAAATGTTTAATGCCCTCCGAGACGTTGGAAGGGTGGAGGACTTTGGGGGCAGTGAATTCACATCACTAGCCGGAATGATAGACTTGGGAGTTAAGATCGGCAAAGCAAAAAACGTGATGCACACCAGGCACATTAGAGGACTTGTTAATCAACACAAAACTGGTACTATTAGCCATCGGACGCTGGGGTTCATACTGAGGGGAGGATCTGAGCACCTATGGACATGTCCGGAGTGCAGTGATGATAACCCAACTAACTAACTAACTAACTAACTAACTAACTAACTAACTAACTAACTAACTAACTAACTAACTAACTAACTAACTATTTAAATGTTTAATTTCTAGCTCTTCACTTTAATCAGCTGTGAGCTCAGGCGGAAAGTTCTGGTTGTTCGTCTACTTCTGGTCTCTTCCCCCCCCCCCTTCTCCATGACTTGGGTTTAGCCTGCACATTGGTTTTGCCTATCTGGCTTATTTGTATGTAGTCTGCCTTTCTATCAGATGTACCCCGATTTGGTAGAAAACACCTCTAATTAGTCGCCTCTTACGACATGTTTGTTAGGATAGGGATCCATAACCCACATGGTGGTGCATAAATGATTAGAATGTCAAGTGTATCTGGTTTTTACTTCTTTTAGTATCCTGCTATAAGTGTCTAACAATATATGATGTGTCGCAAATTATAGTGGACGAGACAGCTAGCCAGCCGCCATAGTCAAGTGTGAAAATACCAGCTTTTCGCACAAGTGGAGCTTGAAATTCACACAACAACGTTTCATCACTTGAACAATCCCCTGCTATAAAACTTCGGACCCTTGAGCCGGCCTGTTACCAGAGCAAGTTTGTTTTGAAGTGCGCAGAAAAAGAATCTTTAGGAACATTTCAAAGTCTTTGTTTATTTTTCAGTTCAACTTATTGAGGCACACCACAGTACATCAAGCAAACGAAATAAATATTTATATATTATAAATAAAAAATAATATACTAAATTCATTAACTAATGCCAGCGAAGACTGAAGGAAGATGACTGGTATGACAGACGCGGTCTTGCCACTTGAGCCTTAATCATTATTTATCCTTACGTCCTTTTTAGGACGTAATTTTTATTTTTTTGAAGCCCCGCTCTGGCTTTTTCCAGGGGCCGCAATATAGGCAGGCCATAAATATGGCCAAATGTCTGAACGCGGTTTCTGGGACCTCTCCACGGTAATCCTCACCCACAAGGTGGCACTTTGTGTCATCGGGTGTTTATCGCTTGTGTGATGTCTTAGTGGGGTAGTAAGTCAGTCAGTCACTGGAGCCTATGGCGGCGAATACGGCAGAGGTCATAGCTCTGCATGTCTGGCGGTTCGTTGCCACTTGCTTTAGGTCTTGGATATTTGTTAGACCCATAGTTGAGCCTTCACTGATGATGGTTCTACTCATGGGTTGCTTTTTGGGGAAAGGGGGGGGGGGGGGTCTGTTTAGTTTTTTTTTTTTCCTTCCGCTGTTTATATGGAGGCAGCTAGGTACAACCTTAAAGCTGAAACACGAATAGATAGGGAAAGACCGAGAGGAAGATATGTTGAAGCAGTTACTGATACCTTGAGACTTCATAAGATCACAGCACATCAAGCGACTGAGCGCGACCTGGCTCGGCTGCCGATCCTCTGATCAACTGCGACGCCTAGCGGCATAAGCAGATATTGACAAAAGAAGATAGGGGAGTCTGTTCTTATCCACAGAATCAGTAGTGTGGAGAAATTTGGCAGAGAACTGAATAAATTCCGGTGAATATTCATATATATATATATATATATATATATATATATATATATATATATATATATATATATATATATATATATATATATATACATATACATATATATATATATATATATATATATATATATATATATATATATATATATACATATACATATATATATATATACACACACACATACATATATATATATATACACATACATATATAAAAAATATATATATACACACACACATATATATATATATATATATATATATATATATATATATATAAAATATATATTTTTTTTCTTTTCCCCCAGATAACGTAATCTTGGTTTTTCATATTGATCTTGGTTTTTTAGAAGTTCCGTTAGCTTGTCCGTTTAATTTTCCAGTTACAGTTTGTATCGTGTTTAGTACTCCCTTGATAAAGACTTTTGTCGAAACGTTCAGTTGTTTTTTGAGGGTTCTAGTCATGTTTTATGTTATATTCAACCCATTTCGACGAAGCAAGGAGGGGGAAAACGAAAGTATTGAATAAGTTACAGATTGAAAAAATATCCTAATTTCTAAACCGATGAAGTAAATAGTGGGTGACTAAAGTTAACGGATGGCAAGCGGCGTTAATTATAACAAATTATATGACTAGAAGGCGTTTTAAAAAAAAGAGGGGGCTGGGGGAGTTAAAGGAAAAGACTAGGACAAATAGAACCGAACATTTCTATCGAACGTTTCCACCAAAGTATTTATTACTGGAATTATATATTCAACACAAACTATGACTAGAAAAAAATCAAAAGCAAACAAAATAGCAGAGATCTAAACAACTAAGGTAAACATTATGTTGTTGTTGACCTTGTCTGTTAAAGACTCCGTCGATGAAGACTTTTCTTGAAACGTTCGGTTGTGTTGTACGCGTCTTCTACCATCCCCTCCGTTAAGCTTTCTGGTTTCCTTTTATGTTAAATTTAGCAAATATTTTATTAGTGTAAGTAGAATGTTTTTGCACTGAAACTTCTATGACCAAGGAATAAATGGAGACTAAAAACACGCAGAGAAAAGAATTATCCAAATTATTGAAATAATTAAATATGGTCGTCTATGCACTCGGAACATTCCCTTACGTGCTCCATCTCTTTTCTAAGCAGCCGACAAAGAGTTCCCACACTGATGTTGGCAGCTACAACTTCATTAACATTCGCCTTTTTCTCATAATGTTGTAATTGTCCGGACGCTCTGCTCACCCTGAGCTGACTCGTTATCTCCACATATGGATTCTCTGTTCTACTGCCCTGTTTACTTAATTCCATAGAGTCTTCACCACTTCCCCTTTATAGTAAAGTAGTACAATACTCTGAGGGGCAAAAGCAGCTAATTTATCAGCGTGCTAATTCTTTTTCTTCTGCCTTTCTAGCCCCCAAATGGAGCATAGGCCCTCAACCAACTCACAAAAAGTCGTTCTATCTTGTGCTATCGCATACAGCTCTCCCCATGTCCTCCCCATCTTTCTAACTTCCTTCTCCAGCTTCCTTCTAAATGTGTGTGTGTTTTTTTTTGGGGGGGGGGAGGGGGAGGGGGGTTATTCCTATGCCCCTGTGGGTTTCAGTGCAAAGACATTCTAGTTATATTGTTCTCCAGTTTTCTCAGTGTGTGTCCTATCCAACGCCAGCGTCGTTTTTTCCCCTCTAGCTCCACTGGAGCTTGCTTGGTTATCTCCAAAAAAAAAAAAAAAAAAGCAAGAGGAGCTTTCATAGCATTTGGGAATTTTTAGAGGTCGAAAGAAATTAAAAGAAATACTAAACTTTAAATTTTTTATTCTAAAGTCAAATCAGTACTTTTGTATGGAGCCGAAACACGGAGAACAACTAAGGCAATTACTAATAAACTAAATCCATTCATTCATTTACTGGTGCATGCGCAGAATAAAGGGAATTAAATGGTATGACAGAATCACCAATGTAGAGCTTTGGGAGAGAGCGTGCTCATTACTCCCTAAATATTTTACTATAAACGCGATCTAATCCGCCATTCCGACGGAGCCTACGCTAGCACCCCGCGACTATTTTATTGTATCCTCCCTACATACGTTTCAAAAGCTACTAAAACTGCATTATGTATTACTTATTTGTTAAGTACTTTTTAATTTTCAGTGCTTTGCAGGGGGCGCGACGATAGTCGTTCTTTATGTTTTGTTATTAGAAGCAGGGATTCCTGTCACGTAAACATCGCTTTAGAAAGTTTGATGACAATTTATGGTTCTTTTTAATTAAAATTGAGTCTCAGTGGTACAGTGATCAATTCGCTTGCATGCCATGTTTATGGGTCCAGGTTCAATAGCCAACAGAAACATGGTTATATTTCACACCCCTCCTGCAAATACTGCTCTGGAGGGCACCCAGTTAATTAAAAAAAAATGGTTGCTAAACAATTTCAACAATGTTCTGGGAATTATTTGTTTAGGAAAAGAAGTGAGGATGGGAAATGACTACCTTGGATAGGTGAAGACCAAAAATATAATTAAACAACAGTTTTTACTTTATTATCAACATGATTGAAATTTCTCCATAATTCTTGAGGAATTTCCCGTGAACAAATAAATTCCCTACCGGCTTGGTGGACCTGTCGCAGGATCATGTTGTAAGATGGCAGATGGCAAAATTCTGTGTGACGAATTTGTGTGTGTATGTGTGTGTGTGTGTGTGTGTGTGTGTGTGTTTTTACAACATTAAAGACGATCTACGCCTTCACAGCATGACAATAGCCAGTGGAAGCCAACGTGCACTGGATCGAAAATTATTCCTCCCCACGCCGCTTAACGACAGAAGTGGTTTATGATGATGTTGATCATCATCATGATTTTCATAAGTTTTCCGACTATTTCTTTCACAGGGTGGACTAACAAGGAAGCAGACGTTTACTTTCTCATCGACAGTTCGGCTAGTATCTGGATTATGGACTACATGAAGCTGCTGCAGTTTGTGGCCGATCTGGTGTCTGACATGGACCTGAGTCTCTCCGCCACCAGGGTGGGAGTAGGACTATTCTCTAGCCATCATAGACTACATATACCTCTGAACAACAACTGGTCTAAAGAGAAAATAAGACAAGAGATCGTGACAGCGCCGTATTTGAGAGGAGACACTTACTTGTCTAGGTAGAATTTAGAAAAAAATATTCAAAACATCGTTTTAAATGCTTTATTTATTGCGTTGAATAAACCCACTGCCGGTTCTGCACCACTTGGTGGTGAATTGATGTAGGCCTATGACAAGCTAGATGTTGTGAGGGCCCTCTGGGAGCGAGTGAACAGTGCAGAGGCACTGAAGAGAATGGCGCTGCGAGGAGTTACCAGGGCATCTGGCCGATGCTCAACAATCAAGAGAAAGGCGAGACGGATGTATGATAAGACAGTTATTGGTGACACCGGAATTGGAACTTTTGGCTTGCCACTGAAGATAAGGACGGGTGGCGAGTGTCCCGAATGCTGTGATGTCGATTTTTAATTAAACATGTAACATTCCCCTAAAAATCATGTGGTAAAAATCTAATTAGGAGTGCTTCGAGGTCAGAGACCTGAGAGGCAATGGCGAAAAGTATGCATATAAGAAAGCATTATATCTCAAATGGGTGTTTACGTAAAACTGCAAGTTCTAGAATAAGATTGAAGTCAAGAATTGACGAATAATCTAAACTTTCCGTCGGAATCTGCAAACAGTGAACCAAAAAGTTGGTCATGTGATGAGAAGGAGAAAACTGGAGTACATCGTGACAGTAGGAAAGTTGGAGGGAGGAGAAGCAGAGGGAGACCGAGAGAAAAAAATGCTGGACAGTTTGATATCATGGCATCGAGGATCATCTGTGTCAGAGTTGATTGAAAATACACGAGACGGAATTATGTGAATAAGACATGACTACCAAAGCCACACGGCATAGACTTTAAGAAAAAGGAGAAGAACGAGTAAAAGAAGAAGAGCATTATCATACTAATTCTCGCGAAGTGTCACTCCTTAATGAATATAATTAAGTATCACTCCTTAAGCGATATCTCTCTAATATCTTCACGGTTCTTGAATTCATTGTGTCTCCCAACAGGGCATTGCAAGGCATGCGCGCCGAAGGATTGTCCTCGAGTATGACCCGTGCTAGTGCTACACGTATTGGTGTGCTGATAACAGACGGCATGTCTAGGTGAGTCCGGTGAAACAAGTCTTAGTTTGATTTAACATGTGGCAGGTTGTCTGGATGCGGCGTCCGTGGCTAAGGCGTTGCGAGTCCGACTCGACTCCGACAGCATACCGCGATCGAAACCCACTGCAGGCTGCGCGGATTTTTATCGTGGTATGGGACATCGCAGGTCGACCCAGCCTAAATTGGGTACCAGGATGGGCTGTCCTGGGAAAGTAAAGACAGCCGGCGTAATGCTGACCACATTACCCACAGAGTGCTGATGGTCTGTAAAAATATGGGACGCTCTGTCCATATGCCCGATTCGCCGAAAGGCGTGAAAAGGGATCTTTACTTTTTTTACTTTACTTAGGTTGTCTGGATATAAAAATTACAATACATCTTTCCCAGTAAAGACAGGGATGTGTTATGTTATCTCTCCTCTTCAACCTTGTGATTGACTGGATACTAAAGAACACAGTAGACAGGACATTGAGAGGCATACGATGGACTCCATTCACCATGCTTGAGGACCTTGATTTTGCAGATGATATAGCACTCCTATCACATAAACATGAACATATACAAGAAAAAAGTAACAAACTACACAGCACAGCAGAAATGGTGGGACTGGGAATAAATACAAAGAAAACTAAGATCATGACATACAGTCCAAACCAACAACCAGTGACAAAAAATAACTAAACGTTTGAAAATGTAGAACATTTCACGTATCTTGGAAGTGTGGTGTCCTTGTCGGGAGTGACCGAAGAGGACATACAGTCACGTCTGAACAAAGCTGGAGCTGCTTTTGGAAGGATGAGGCAAATCTGGAAATCCAACAATTACTGCAGAGGAACGAAACTCTGACTCTACGAGAGCATCCTTTTGCCAGTTCTTCTTTATGGAGCGCAATGCTGGAGAATGACCAAAAAAGATGCACACAAGCTGTCCACCTTCCACCACACATGTCTACGTAGAATTATCAAAATTTTCTGGTCAGATACAATCTCAAACACTAAACTACTTCAAGTTACAAACCAAGAAACTTTAGACAGTATGATAACCAAGAGAAGATGGAAATGGCTTGGCCACGTTATGAGAATGAATCCTGATATACCAGCCAAAACAGCTCTCACATGAACACCAAAAACAACATGGAGACGAACGATGGAAATTGACCTGAGTGCTGCATCTTTGACATGGAAAACTGCACTGAAGATTGCACAGGACAGGAAAGCATGGAAAGTCCTGTCTGAAGCCTCGTGTGCCACTAGGCATAACGAGAACTGATGAGGTTGTCTGGATCACGCATAGTTTGCTAGCTAGCAAGGATGTTCCACAGTTTACAAAATACCAAAGATACAGGGGCACTGGGTCCGGGTGGCTCAGGTAACTTGAGGCATCCCAAGCCCAACTAACCACCCAACTAAAGACACATAGTTTGTCAGATACCAAAGACATTACAAGATACCAAACATCATTCACACTTTGCTATTTACCAAAGATATAATATAGCTTACTAGTTACAAAAAAAAAAAAAACGTATTGTTGGCCAGGTACATGAGACAACTGATAGTTTACGAGTTGCCAAAGAAAACACAGTCTGTCAGATACAATATATATAAATACACACACACACACACACACACACACACATATATATATATATATATATATATATATATATATATATATATATATATATATATATATATATATATATATATATATATATATAATTGCAAGATACCATAGATAATTCACATTTTCTACTTACCAACAAATAACACAGTTTATTAGCTACGGAATATAGCATATTGTTTGCTAGTTACCTAAGATGACGGATAGTTTGCAAGTTACTTAAGATGACATTTAGTGTGTCAGACACCAGAGATAACTTGTTGTATCCTTTCATTTTTTTTCCAGACACAAACAGCTGACAGCAGATAATGCCACTCTGGCCAAGATGGACGGCATTTTTCTCTTCACAGTGGGTGTCGGTCATGGAGTTGATCATGACGAATTGCGTGAAATTGCCAGTGATCCCAAGAAAGAGTTCAACTATCACGTTCCCAGCTTTGATTTTTTGAAAGAAATCCGTTTGAAGCTGTCACATAGGATGTCAGAAGGTAGACTGTTGCATGCGTTAACTACATAACAATATTTTCCTTGGTAACTGTTCAGCCTTGGGAGTTGCAATGCTTTAGCAAGATACTCCGAACACAATGGACCAAGAAGAAAATGAATACTTGCATCCCAAAAGATCAGAACATCAAGGGAGATTTGCCAGTAAACAGCAGCTCTCGGACACTGAACTATTTTGGCTATATCGGGAGATTGTAAAGAATAATAAAGGATGCAAGACACCAAGAAAGAGGAGCACGGGAGATAAGTGAAACCTAGGATATGACAGTGCAAGGGGCTGGAGAGCTGGCAAGAGATGGAGTTTCTTTTGGGGTAGAACATGATGAGAGTAATCTTCTGCAAAGTATCTGCTACATTGATATTCATTCTAACTGTTCGACTGCTATCACACACTTGGCGGCTTCGTGAAGATTTTATACCTTATGTGATCTGAAAACTAGCGTTGAAAATATCTTTCTAACAGGACAAGTCTCATGAACCACGTTCAACCTCTTTGAATGTTATAATTGTGGTCCTATCATTGGCTACGACTAATAATTATTTCTGCAACATACGGACTTGTGTGAATTGGGTATAGATTTTCTTAAAGCTCTTCGAACATTGTAAACTTTACAATACAGTTTCTTACTAAGAAAGCATGGAATTTGCATACACACATACATATATACATACACACATACTTACAGACAGACAGACAGACAGACGGATGGACGGACTGAGAGACAGACAGACGGACGGACGGACTGGGAGACAAACAGACAGACGGACGGGCGGACTGAGAGACAGACGGACGGACGGAGAACAGACAGACAGACAGTCAGACAGACAGACAGACAGACAGACAGACAGACAGACAGACAGACAGACAGACAGACAGACAGACAGACAGACAGACAGACAGACAGACAGACAGACAGACAGACAGACAGACAGACAGACAGACAGACAGGCAGACAGACAGATAGACAGACAGACAGACGGACAGACAGACGGACGGACAGACATATTCAAGGGCAGCGGTTCTCAACCTGTTGTGTCGCGACCCTTTTGTGGGTCGAATGACCCTTCAGATGGGTCGCAAAAAACCATCAGAAAACATATTCACTGAAGTTATGAAGAAGCTACGAAAATAATTGTATGGTTGAGGACAACAGGAGAAACTGTATAAAAGGGTCACTGCCTTGGAAAGGTTGAGAACCTCTGTTCTAGGGGCTTGGAACAAAAGAAAAATAAGAAGAAGGGCACTCCATCCCCTACAGGAAAATAGTAAGATGGCCAAGCTGATCTCCCTCTCCATGTAATCAAGTTCTTTTATTGAAAAGTAAAGAACCCTTTTTAGGCGTATAGGGCAAATAGGGCTAGACAGTTCATTTATTAACTATTTATTTATATTTCTTTTTCGCACAGTCCATTCCGTGTGAGGCGGTGGTAGTGAGGTCTGTACAAATCCTTCCATCTTGTACTTTCAGTCAGTTCTGATACGTATGATTTTGCTTACAATAATGTCAGTTCTGTCTATCATGTTTTCTTTCGGTCTCCCTCTTTTTACCTGTTAATCTGTTAACTTCAGTCTTTCTGTAAGCGTTCTCAAGAACAATTTAGTGTTGCGTGTGCTTTAAAAGAACTATTACAGTCCAAAGCAATACTATTCTTTTACACTTTCTTGTTTAATTTTGTATCTTATTCTTCTCATTATAAAATCTGGGTGTAAATATAACCAGAGGGTCTGGCCGGCTCAATACACTCTGAGGAAAGGCGACCGGTACTATTAGTATTGGAACTATGCGCTGACTGCTGAAGATGAGGACGGATCGCGCATGGGAATGCATAAAGTGCTGTGACTCAACCCAACTCATTACAATTATCATTAAAATGTTCGTTACATCACTTAATAAAAAAGTATATTCTTCTCGATCCAATGGACCCTGTGTTTTTAGTAAAAGTATTGAAAGAGATTTCAAAACGTTATCGGGTATGTGTGTGTGTGTGTGTATATATATATATATATATATATATATATATATATATATATATATATATATATATATATATATAGACATGCACACACCACACACACACACACATATATATATCCACTATTATTAATGTCGTTCAACAATTGTTCAGTTGTTGAATTATTTTTATTTTTTTTAAGTAAATTATTATTTTGTTTTTAAGAACATGATTTTTTATTATAATTATTATCATTGTTGTTTTTATTATTATTAACGCTTTCTCCTTCTTCTTTTTCTCCTTCTTCGTCGTCTTTTCTTCTTCTTTCTTCTCCTTTTTCTTCGTGTATGTGCGAATGCATGCATGCATGAATTCCTCATTGTGTGCGCGCGCGTGTATGTATAAAATATAAACCAGAGAGGGACAAATTATCGTGTGTGGGCGATGTCGTTTTCTAAATAGCAACTTTGCCTATTTTTTTTTTTTTTTTTAAATGGCTTACAGTTTTTACATTTTTTTTTTTTCTCTTCAGTTGGCCTCATGCAAGGCGACGAGGGAAGTAAGTACTTGGTGTTTCCGGATATTTGGTCACTTAAGTTAGTAGATATATCTTAAGTAGTTCGCGTGACACTGGGAGTCAGTTGAAAGTTTGACGTCAAAAGATGACTATCATAAACTACAAAGCGCATTTCCCTTAAGTAAATATTTCAAGTGACAGCAGTTTTTTTTTTTTTTTTAAATATCAAAGGAATCTTTTTTCCTGTTCATTTATACTTGTTCCTGGACTCTGGTTTGTACCCTCAGAAGAAGGTTTTTTTTTTTTTTAGAGGAGTGGGCGGTATGCCACGGTATGAGGTACCAGCACCTTTTCTTAGGGATCATTATTCTTTAAGCACAACAATAAAGACACATTGTGGTCAGCACAGTCACCTTTTAAAGACATTTTAAGTTGAATGCAGGCGCCACTAATAGCTGATGCAGAAATAAAAGCATCGGTGAAGGATTGCATCGAAAGATGCTGTTATATATACAGATGGTTCTGTGATTCGTCAAAATCGAAGTGCATGGGCTTTCACAGCAAGAACCAACGGGAAAGTCCTTTAAGAAGACAGTGAAGCCGTGGCTTCTACCACCAGCAGGGTGACAATGGAGGTCATGGCAGTGACAAAGCCTCCCAGAATGGCTGAAAACTCAGGAGTTCACCAATGCCAGTTCGCTCTCAGCGACTCACTGGGCATGCTACATAAGATCAAGGTGGAGACATACAGAAACAGTGGCTCCATCTGATACAGCATTCAGCGTGTCGCAAAAATCACCTTCATTTGTGTCCCAGGGCATGCTGGTGTGGAAGGCAGTGAGAGAGCAGACACTCTGGCTGGCAGTGCGACTATCAGGAATGAGCCCTCTATGGACATGTTCACATCATCAATGTTATAAGAGATTTCAAAGGTTTAAGGCTTTCAGTTTCGTGGAAAATGAGTTTTCACTGAATAGACTGCATACACTGCATGTACAAAATGGACCGGCAATACAAGAGAACCATTCGGGAAAAACCCATCGTTATATCAACCAGAACATAATGGGTGTTGTTAGCATAAAAACTTGGAGACACACTCAGGAGGATATCGGATATATCTATGTATGTGTGTGTCTATAAATATATATGTATGTACGCGTGTGCCTGTATTTATTGTGTATATATACACACACACACACACACACACACACATATATATATATATATATATATATATATATATATATATATCCCCGTGTGGGTTCCGGGGCCCCATCGTGTGGAAAACAAGAATAGACCCTCTGCCTACCCAAAAGCATGTCGTAAGAGTCGACTAATTGGGGAGCTTCCTTTGAAGTTGGAGTGCATATGCAAGGAACCAACAGTCTGAGTTCAAGTGAACCAGATCTGTAAAACTGATGCACACGCAACACTCAGGTTCTGGAGCAGGACTGCAGTTCAGAAGTGGACGAACAACCAAAACTTTCCACCAGAGTGTACAGCTGGTGAACACGAAGAAGAAGAAGATATAAATATAAATATAAATGTATAACAAATTAAGAAGAATTTG